AGAATGAAAATATAAAACAAATTATTTTGCCCATGTGACATGCAAATTTTATATTTTCTGTTCGAAAAGGAGCAGGTAGAAGATACATCTTATACCGTCCTGCCCCTTTCCTACTTGTCAATTTATCAATTAACAAAACAAAACACTTGTTTCCATTCCACACGATGTTTAGCCATGTACAATTATTTTAAGTACTATTTTATGTTATCAATTACATTATAGACTATTAAACAGTCATCTTATATAGCGTATTTTGCTCTCATTGAAATTGAAAAGAACACACCAGAGAAAGTTTTATGCAAGAGGGCTTGCATAGCTCAGACTGAGAAATACACCAGGTTTAGAGAGATGCGATTACACAGTAAAGCACATCCGCTTTGGGGAAAAATACAAAATAACATCGCACAGAGAATATATAGCAGGTTGGAATGACAATATTGATACTTTAGATGTTTATTAGCTCATTAATTTAGCTGAGACACTAGTGGAGTTACAACAGTTGTAAAGCTGTGACCTGGATACAGTCAGGACATTTCTGGATTTCGTTTGCTGTCTGGTTCCACTGTTTATAGTTTAAACTGTGCTTGTAGTAGTTTATGAACATTTATACTATGTGGATAAACAAATATCGAAGTTACACCCTGGGTCCATCTTCTTACAGCAGGAGTCACCAACATGGTGACCAAGGGCACCAAAGGGGCCCTCAAGGACCACATGGGGTGTCCTGAGCATCTCACCAGTGGACTAAGTTTGAAATTTTATTCTATGTTGCTGCTCTTATTGTTTTTTTTATCAATAATTTAGAACATTTAAGCAGTTGTAAGGATTTCAAAATAAAAATATCTAAAAGCAAATTAGAATTGAAAATAAACAATAGAAATATGTTCATTATCTATAAAGATTAGGTGAATACTGACTCCACCTTTTCATAGGTCAGTATTGGATGCCCGTCCAAAAGGCTGAGTATCGATGAAGTAGCTCCCAGACATAAAAAGGTTGGTGACCCATGTCTTACAGTGATTAAAGACAATAAAACATACAGGAGTTAAATTCCTCCTCTGGAACTGGGGTTAGTGGTTCAGCTAAAATAACTTTACAGATGACTGGACTTTAGATGCGTGTAAAACTAGGGTGGAGTTTGAAGTAAAAAAAAAAGGAGAAAAAAAAAGAGATTTTTTTTTAATATAATGCTCCACATTCTAAATGTTTCCACTGTTCAAAACATACTAATATCTGGATGGACAATTTTAGCTAAAAGTGTCTTTCTGGTGGCAGACTGAAATTAAAAGCATGCCATACTTGGCAGCTTTAAAACTATGCACATTTTTGTTCTCCTATCTCATTACATCACAATAACAGAAAGTTTGTATTTCTGATGTGAGACATTATATATATCACCCTTATATGAAATGATCATTTTCAGACCTGTGCAATGAGTGCAGCCACCTCCAGAGCCAGCTCTTTGTTCACAGGGAAGAGGCCTCGCTGAACTTCATCATTCACCTGGTACACCAGCAGGAGGCGCTCTCGCTCCGTCTCTCCTTTAACCTGAGCTCTGAAACGCAGCCTGAACACAGAGAAGGGCAGCATCCTGTGATCCATCACAGCAATCGGCCATATCCATATTTTCACAAAAAATTTCATGACAGAATAAAAGATGAACCTGTTTTTGTAGGTTAGCCGAACAATCCGTGTCCCTTCATTTTTCCCAGGATGCAGTTCTTTCAGGGCCTGCTCCCACTTAGAAATGACATCACAGATCTGGAGCAAATAGATAACAGCCATGGTTTCAACACAACATATTGACACCATACAATTATCAGAAAATAAAAAAGCAATCAAAACTCGAGAAGCCTTTGTCCTTTTTAATATTATTTAGAGCGCTGTTTCCCCCTAGCGTTAACTTTTGTTTAATAGATGTATGATCTTAATTTATTTTTATTTTTTCTTGTCTTTCTTCCTTATTGTTTTGCACAAAATGAGGACATTTACTTGAATGGTAAAAATGTGAATTTACACTTGTTGAAAATGTCTGTAAATAATGGTTGTTGTGAATACCTATAGTGCAATATGGTTGCTCTGTATTGTTCTTTGCAGAAACAAATAAAGTTGTATTAAAGCAAAAAAAAAAAAAGCCATGGCTTCAACACAATGATACTGTAAAAACTTCCATTAGTCCTTTCAACCAGGAGATGGCAGCTCTGAAGTAAAAAAAAATTGTCAAATGGAGGTCCAGAACTTTTTTGACTGTTTTTGAACATGATCAAATATATGGACGTTTACTCCACTAAATGCAAATACAGCAGGAAAGTATGTTGTACTGACAGTCAGAAGCACCCAAGTGTATTAGATGATATTGGAACAAAATTATCTCTTTCAAGGAAATCAATGTGTACTAGCAGCAAAGTCACAAGAAATAGGGAAGCTTAAAATAAAATTCTAACCAGAGTAACAAAATAAATATGACAATCAAAACAATTTTCATTCATTCTTCTGAAAAAGCATTTTTTTCATCATTTTAATTTAGTTAATTTATTTTTCAAATTCCCTTGTAGCAGAACATGATTTTATCTTTTTCCAGTTTTTGCTAATTAACCAATTATATGCTGAGGTGTTTTAAACAAATCATCTGGACATAATAAACGATTCATTAAGGTAATTATCTAATTAATCAATAAAAACTGAAATGTATTAATGATGTTAAATTTATAAACTATCTCTGTTGGAGTTATTTCTATGGTCATAACCCAATCGTGGACTAGTTTGTTATTTATAGAATTATTTGATATAGATTCTACACGCAAATATATTCATTTTGGGGTTTTTTTCTGGTATTTATTTAAATAACAGTAAACATTTTTTGTGCACATCTGTCCAACACTTATTGGTCTTACCTTGGCTGATGGCTGCAGGCAGTGCTCCAGATCTTTACCAGACGGATCATCGGTGAAGAGTGTAAACCCTGTTAGCTGGGGTTTCCTCATGCCGATCCGCTGGTTCAGTGTGTTTAGGAACTCTTCCACAGTAGTGGAGCCGTCAAACCCCACAACCTGCGCAGAGCACACGTCTGATTGAGGGGTCAACTTTGTGGTGGTGCTTCGGCTACAAGATGCATGCAAACTGCAACTGCATACATGCATCTTTATTAAAGGAATAGTACACCCAAAACATGATTAGCCTTCATTTTCTACTCACCCCCATGCTGAACAACACTCTGGAGTACTTTTTTGATATCTCAAATGCATCTGGAGATCTGGGAGGCTTCTTGCTGTCTGCTGACATTCAAATAATGGAGGTCTATGGCGCCCGAGGCAGAAAGGTCCATAAAAGTCCACAAAAAACGTGTCAATATTCCTCCATACTGCTCGTCCAATGTATTCCAAGTGTCCTGAGTGGGTAGCGTCCAGAATTTACTCGAAACAAAGTCATTTAGAATGTTTTTAGAGCATAAACAGTAGTGTATAGGATTTCCTGAAAGCGCGCGCCTGCGCGTTCAGGACGCTACGGAAGCCGGCAGACCAAACCAGATGAAAGTGCGCATTCAGCGTCTGCTCTGCCGATAATGCAAGCGTAGAAGAACAAATGTGCTGTTTACCTGTGCAAAGAAAGAAACAACGAAAGAAAAATGTCTGAGGACTTCAGTGTTGAGGAAGAGCATGAGTTCTTTGCCGAGCTGAATGCGCACTTTCATCTGGTTTGGTCTGCCGCGGTTTCCGTAGACTCGTGAACGCGCTTTCAGGAAATCCTATACACTACTGTTTATGCTCTAAAAACATTCTAAATGACTTTGTTTCGAGTAAATTATGGACGCTACCCACTCAGGACACTTGGAATACATTGGACGAGCAGTATGGAGGAATATTGACACGTTTTTTGTGGACTTTTATGGACCTTTCTGCCTCGGGCACCATAGACCTCCATTATTTGAATGTCAGCAGACAGCAAGAAGCCTCCCAGATCTCCAGATGCATTTGAGATATCAAAAAAGTACTCCAGAGTGTTGTTCAGCATGGGGGTGAGTAGAAAATGAAGGCTAATCATGTTTTGGGTGTACTATTCCTTTAAGTGGTTCTTTTCTTTTGAATTCACTTTTTCTTATTCAATTTTCTTATTCATTGGTAAGGATATATGTTTTTGGAATTGTCTGCCAAACACATAGACAAATAAACAGAAATGTCCCAATCAGATAGAATATCTGCTTATTAAAATAACCTGTAAAAATGTATCAGATGAACAAACAGGTGGAAAATACACAGCTACAAGGACACAACCCATTTTAAAACAAGATAGACTGATCAGTGTTGATCAATAATCCATGCTGTTAGATCAGGGAAGAGTTTTAAGGAATTATGAGTTGGAAAGCATTTTAAAAGTGCATGGTACCTGATAAGTGTTGTTCATAAAGTGAACTGGGATGCTGAAAGGCAGTGAGTGATGATAGGGGTTTCTAAGCAGGATGGACACTATCTCCATCCGGGAGGGTTTCGCTTCCCGCTCTCCATTCTGTAGCGTTCTCTCCAAAGATCTCTGACAGTATACAGCATACTTCCCAACCTCAGTCCTTTATAGTAAGAGAAACCATAGAGTAAAAAATGACATCACCTAAAAAGGGCCAAAAACTGGATTCAATGACTTTATAGTAGTTTGCAAAGTGATGGTATAAGTTTTCACCTGGGGTCAGCACTAAGCTGAAGATACTGCCTCAGGTACCAAAGGAAATGCTGCTGTGGGAGGAAGAGCGCCACACACAGCGACAACAGCTGCCAACACTGCAGAAAGGATCACATATTACGCTTGTTTACACCATCAACAAAATCTATTTATTCCTTTTATATTTTGGATAACTGAGCCGACCTGGGTGAGGGAGTAGTTGTTCGGTATCCGGCGGTTGGTTTGCTTGATCAGCTGGCAGTACATTTCGTTCTGCAGCTCTGGGTGGGTCAGACACACTTGCAGAGCATTCTGGGCCAGGGATGTGTGGTAATCAACAGAAGGAGACTCAACCAGCACGTTGATGAAAAGCTGACAGGACTGCAAAGAGGAGCATAATCACTAATATTAGCTAACAGAAGACAAAGGAACTACAAAGGAAATGTCATTTATATCTTATATGCCGTGTATCAGCTATGCACACTGATTAAAATGAATACCCATTATCAGTTTAGATTTCTATTACATATTATTTATCCTATTTACTCACTATGAAAGTTTTCACTCAGTCTGTTTCACCTTCAAGGCCACACCATTCTCTTTCAACAAGGCATTGTCAAACCGGTTAAAGGAATAGTACACCCAAAACATGATTAGCCTTCATTTTCTACTCACCCCCATGCTGAACAACACTCTGGAGTACTTTTTTGATATCTCAAATGCATCTGGAGATCTGGGAGGCTTCTTGCTGTCTGCTGACATTCAAATAATGGAGGTCTATGGCGCCCGAGGCAGAAAGGTCCATAAAAGTCCACAAAAAACGTGTGAATATTCCTCCATACTGCTCGTCCAATGTATTCCAAGTGTCCTGAGTGGGTAGCGTCCATAATTTACTCGAAACGAAGTCATTTAGAATGTTTTTAGAGCATAAACAGTAGTGTATAGGATTTCCTGAAAGCGCGCGCCTGCGAGTTCACGACGTTACGGAAGCCGGCAGACCAAACCAGATGAAAGTGCGCATTCAGCTCAGCAAAGAACTCATGCTCTTCCTCAACACTGAAGTCCTCAGACATTTTTCTTTCGTTGTTTCTTTCTTTGCACAGGTAAACAGCACATTTCTTCTTCTACGCTTGCATTATCGGCAGAGCAGACGCTGAATGCGCACTTTCATCTGGTTTGGTCTGCCGCGGTTTCCGTAGACTCGTGAACGCGCTTTCAGGAAATCCTATACACTACTGTTTATGCTCTAAAAACATTCTAAATGACTTCGTTTCGAGTAAATTCTGGATGCTACCCACTCAGGACACTTGGAATACATTGGACGAGCAGTATGGAGGAATATTGACACGTTTTTTGTGGACTTTTATGGACCTTTCTGCCTCGGGCACCATAGACCTCCATTATTTGAATGTCAGCAGACAGCAAGAAGCCTCCCAGATCTCCAGATGCATTTGAGATATCAAAAAAGTACTCCAGAGTGTTGTTCAGCATGGGGGTGAGTAGAAAATGAAGGCTAATCATGTTTTGGGTGTACTATTCCTTTAATATGCAGCTCTTGCTATAAGTTCCTTTTCATGCCTTTAATGTCTCAAATGAAGAAATTAGGCCCCACAGGACCATATCTAATAAGTTTTGTGCGTATGACATGACATAATGTGAACAAGGACAAAGGGTTCACTAGAAATAAAAAGAGCACATACACAAAAAACTTTAATAGTAGATTTCTTTTGTTTGAGCTGAAAACAGGGGCACTATTTAATATTTTCCACGAGGCTCTTCTGATTCATTAAAACTTCAAAAGGCTGAGATGTAAAAGGCTGTCATTCATTCCATTTAGGCTCATTGTTTGCATTTGGGACAGTTTTTAGGGCTGGCTGGTCAAAGATAGAGATGATCATTTCTGCCTTCAATGGAGCATTTGGGGGTTTGGAACATTGACGGTTCAGGGAGGAGGCTCCTGAGGGGCCACATTCAGAGCTAGAGAGTTGAGACAGAGAAAAGGGAACTGCCAGCCCCCCTACAACCTCCTGGTTCTGCTTTGATCACATTTTGTGTCCTTCATCTAATCTTTTCTATGTGCAATGGTGCATGACCTGTCATGACTTTTCTTAAAGGATAAGAGTGGGGGTTCTTTTCCAGTGGCAACAAACCACAGGAACAGTTAGCCTCAATCAGGGAAGATAATCAAGACTATTATCTCTCTTCCAGACTCTTGATGAGGTAGGCCCCTCGGATGCAAGCCTCTGATCTATTTTAGAAGCAGGAGGGAAGAGAAAGGATGGACCAGGAAGCACATCCACGATGCAACACAGGGGAGAAAATATAAGAGATGTAGACAGAATGGCAGAGGATTCGGGGGTTGGGAGGTTAAGTGGAGCACAAACAGAAAACAAACAGAGGGATGAGGAGTTTGGAGACAGACCTTGAATAGTTTAAGAGCTTCAGTCTGCAGAGCTTCAGATGGCAGGGTGGTGAGAGGCGAGCGCAGACCCTCCTTACAGAAACTCAAGGCCTCGCTCTTCCACAACACAGACTCTGCAAAAACACAAAGAGGAAGATGTGTTTATATGTAAACCTACACAGACAAAGCAATATTGAGTTTCAAAGCTATTATGAGTCAGAAAACCAAATTACAGGCTGCTCTGCATTGGTAAACAGGGTCTGGAGTGGGAACTGGAGCTAGCCCACATCATGATTCAAAAAAACACAGTACGACCTTGTAAAGAATTAATTTATGTCCTTTATCTGACACTTTTATCACATCAATTTTTAAAAGAAGTAGAATAAAACAATAAATCCCCCTTTAGAAATACTTTTAAAAAAGCACACATTAGGGTTAATGAAAGGTAATCGTCATTTCCCGCTTCATCCCGGAACGGGTCAAGGAGGCAGCATTGTCAGCAGAGACTCCCAGACACATCCTTGAGCTCCTCTTGGAGTGAACCAAGGCACTCTCATTCCAGCTGAGAGTCATAGTCTCTCCAGCATGTCCTGGTTCGTCCCCTGGCCTCCTACCAGTTGGACGTGCCTGTAACATCTCCTGAGGGAGGCGTCCGGGGGAGATCTGACAAATATGTCGGTGAGGAGGAAAAGCGGCTCTACTCTGAGCGTCTCTGGAATGACCAAGTTCCTCACCTTATCTCTAAGGGAGAGCCCAGCCCCCCTGCAGAGGTAGCTCATTTCAGAGGCTTGGATCTCTGTATTTTATGACAATAGGTGAGGGTAGGAACATAGACCGACTGCTAAATCTAGAGCTTTGCCTTTTCACTAAGCTCTCTTCACCACGACAGGTCAACATTGTAGCAGCAGCCAATCCGTCTATCGATCTCACACTCCACTCTCTCCTCACTCGTGTATAGGCCCTGTTGCAGTTGCAACTAAATATTTAGGGGGCATTGCTGCTCCAATATTGAATATCACAAAGAACAGAGTCCATTGGTTTTCAAAATTATTTCTGTGTCTGATCCTCTTCAAAACTCAATATAACCTCCTGAAATGTGTTGCTCTTACATCACATCCTTTCTTCCAGGTACACTGGACTATATTTTTTCCTCTTTACAGCAGACTGCTCTGGATTTCTGATAAACCAAACCCAATGCTGGCATTGGAAACAGACCAGGGTAAAGCTGGTATGCTTCAGAGTCCTGAAATGGGTTCACACTGGTGTAATTAACTTCAAAAACCAAATTTAGAGCAAAACACGTTCCAAGCATCTAGAGCAAAAGCAAAAGAAAATCTTAATAAAGTATTTACATCTTTATAATCTAATAAAAAAAAAATCTGTCTTAGTCCTAATGCTTTGCATAGAAATTAGGTCAGAACCTTCCCATTTTAGCTCCCATTCATGAAACCTAAGATAAACCGAAAAGTCAGATTCTTTATAATAAAAACCTCTCACCTGGGTCTCCCTCCACATCCATGAGTTTACCAATGAGTTGCTCATACTCTGTGCCTACTTTCAAGGTTGCACTGCTGCCAGCCGCTACTGTCAGGTGATACAACCATGTGTCCTGCAAAGAAAAAAAACAAAACAAAACACACTTTTAGATTTCAAGGCAGAAAAAGATGCTTGATAATTCAGGTTTCCTCTTCTGCAACCTTCTCCTGCTTGGTGCCAATGAGCAGATAAGTAGGACTCTGGTCTTTGGGTTGGACCACTAAGGTGCAGTGAGAGGAGAGGAATCCCCGATCCCCTGCCTCATAGTCCTCGTCTGAATCACATGAGCGATCCACTTCCTGCACAGATGCCTCCTTCATCTGCAGCTGACCCAGAGGCAGCTGGAAAACACAGATTAGCACAAGCAATAAATTAAAAAAACAATCAAAAGCAAATTTTTGCTTATAAGTTATTCAATTGCACAAAATAAATGATTTGCCAGAACATACAGAGACATATTAACATCTCAAACCTTGTCCTCCTGATTGCGAAAGTAGCAAAATACTTTTCCCACCAAAGAGCACCAGACCAGCTTTGAGTGTCCATGTTTAACCTTATAAAGGAGAATTAGCACAAAGGACATAAGAAAAGTTAGAAAAAACTTGGACACTATGGCCGTTTGTAAAATAACTTTTTTTGTGTCTCTAATCAAAATTCTCCGATTACTTAAACACAATTAAAGTTGTTGCACTTAAACCAGAAACCTGAGCTAAATGAGTAATTCAGTCTAAATCAAGATGTAACACATCTGTGCACTTAAAATGTATGTATGTCATCCCCCTCATCACATTTCAACATTGCTTGAGCTATTTTTCCAAAGAAAATGAAGAAACTTCTCTCTTAATTGTCTAAAAGTGGAGAGATAAGCCCAGTAGTCTAGTTGTAAAAAAAGAAGGGGGGTGGTGGAATAGTTTTTTTTTTTTTGGAAGCATACTTAGCCTAATCAATACAGTGTATTAACCTAAAGCAATATGGTTGTTACATGTCAGGTACGCCGGTCACTGAGTTTGACCAAGGCACCTTACAGTAGCCTGGGTGCCATTCCGAACTTAGTCCCGCCCACAAGGTTTGAGGTCGGGAAGTTCGGTCTGGCATTGCTCAA